ATCTTTAGGCTTTTATTTTAACAATTAACAGAGATCCCAGGACAGAAAAATAAATGTTTTGTAAAACTGCGACTAACAGTATCTTGACTTAACTGAAAGGGTTACAAAGGTATAATGCAATGCTCCAGAAAAGTGCAATGTATTTTCTAATGATTAAATATGCAACAGCACATTTGGGGAAACTAGAGATTCTTCTTTAACTATTATCAAGACATTTCTAAAAGTCAACTGAGACAGGAAAAACCCACTGACTAGATAACTGCTTATTTACACCCACAAAAAGGTCAGTAAAATCAAACTAAGAAGATCAATACATCTTCCATCTATTACATATAAGATTATGGAAACAATGATTAGACCTTAACTAGAAAATAATCTGTAACACAACAGGATTCTAGGGGATTGTCAATGTAACTTTAGAAAATTTGAATCTTGCTAAACTGGTTCAAGTAGGTAAGAAAAACTTAATATATTTACTCAAAACATAAAACAATCATCTTTTACAGAAAAAAACATCAACACCCCCACTACCTCCACTAATCCTAATCTTGTTGTTACTATTCCCTCAAACCTTTCCCTTTCACAGGATGAGCTATCTCTTCTCAGCAAAGGCCTCAGTCTTGTACCAGTCCCCAAGACACTGGACATCCCCCAAACCCAAGTTGACCTCAACTGCTTATACCACATGATTTGACTCAGCACAAATTGGCAGCTGACAACAACCCAGTTAACAATCCAATTAAAAATATCAATCTTAAACAGAGCTGTTGGACTCCTCCTTCCAGCCATTTTCCATCAGTAGATTACTTCATTAATCAATGCAACAATCAAGCTCCCAACATCCCTTCCACAACAAGGAAATACATATTTTACCTCCTCCCCAAAATCCACAAACTCAACACCCCCAGACGCCCCATCGTCTCAGCATGTGACTGTCCCACAACTCACATCTCAGCCTTATCAGACCACTGGTTAAAGGGCTTCCTTTATACAAGGACACCAACCATACCCTCCAACTTTTTGATGATTTCCAGTTTCCGGGCCCAGAATGTTACATTTTTACCATGAACATTACATCCTTATACACCATCATTGCCGATAATGATGGTCTTACAGCCCTCAAGCACACACTGGACAAGCACACAGTCCTTGATCCACCCACCCAAACTCTTGTATGTCTTGCGGAATTGGTCCTTACACTGAATGCTTTCTCATTCAATAACCTTTCGTATCAGCAGGTTAGTGGACTTACCACAGGCACCAAGATGGGACCCAGCTATGTCAATATTTTTGTTGGCAGGGTAGAAGAATGCTTCCTCAGTTCCTTCACTGGCTTTGTCCTTGACCTCTACAGAAGATACATCGATGACTACCACCACATGCTCTAATGACCAGCTAGAGCATTTCCTGCATCACTTCCAACAACTTTCACCCATCCCTCAAATTAACAGTTAACATATCTTCCACTACTCTTCTGTTTGTAGACATAAACCTAACCATTAACCATCCATGACTCTACTTCTGTCTATTACAAACCCACAGATTCACACAGCTATCTCCTGTACAGCTCATTTCACCCCACACATACTAAAAATTCTCTCCCTTTTTCACAGTTTCTCAGGCACCGACTAACTTTGCCGTGATGACATGGATTTCCAAAATGCACCTCAAAACCCTTAAAATGCACTTTTTTTCATTAGAGGATACTCCACCCATGTTATTGACAGGGCCCTTCCCGAGCCAACAACAGCCCTCGGATAATCAACTCAATTAGGAACTCTTGGCCTCACAACCACATTCCATTGGTGCTTCCCTACCACCTTAAAACCCTTTCTATCCCCAGAACCATTAATAACAACTTCCCCACCTTACAGGATGATTCCTCTACTGGTACTGGAAGACTGTTTCAGGTAACATGTCAGGGTGTGAGGATCAAAGATCTCTCCAAGCCCAAAGTTTCCCATTTCACCTCTAATGGCTATATCATACTGATCTCTCCATCTGTGTTCTCAGAGGGATTTCAGAATTCTGCAGAAAGACAACCGAAATCCTGAAACTAGGATCACACCTATCCCCTTCTCTCAACGACAGACTTGTTTCCTTCTAATCCTCTCTATTCATTTGCAGGTTTCGACTTCACACCTCTCTTCACTTCTCTTCGACTTCACATCACCACCAGAGTGTCGACTCTGCTTATCTCCTGCCCTCGTCTCCTCTCCACTCCCAGCTTTTGTTCTCCCATGCTTTATCAACTGCCAATTTTCCTCTCTGCTTCTCTCACACTCAAAGAAGGCTCCACAGCTGAAATGTGGGCTTTCTTTTCTTCTCTTTTCAGCATGGAATAAACCTTTATCTGTTCTGTTGCTAAACATGTTAGAGTTATTTTAAAAACATCAATACAGGAAATTATTACAGAGCACATTTATTTTTTCAGAAGGCTTTTGATAAATGTTTTTTGTTAAAGGTTAATTCTCAGTAAACATTCAAGGAATTGCATGTTTTTTTAAAAGAACAACTAGTCAAATCATAGGAAACTGAGTACAGATAAGGGGTGAATACTCAACATTGGGAAAAATCCTCAGTGGACTATCGTGAAAATTGGGTTGGGCCACTGCTCTTCCTAAATTATATTAATGATCTAGATTCTGTCATTGTTCAAACCAGTTATGATTAAGTTACATATAATGCTAAAAAGCAAGAAATATCAAACTGTGGAAGCTGCAAAAAAATCCAAAAAGACCAAGACTAGGCACACAACTGATGGATGATATTTTATGTAGCCAAGGACAGAGTATTACATGCATGCAGCAAAAATGAACTATATGATGTAAAACTGAGCTTCATAAAACCACAAATTAACATTTTTTCATTTCTAGTTATTTTAATTTTCCAAGAATACAAGGTAATAAACCTATTTAACATCACACCAAACTTTGTAATGAGGAAACAGTTCTGAAAAGTCTTCCCCACCTGTAAAGCATCACCTTAGCTATTTACTAAACATCATGCTTTGATTTATAAACATTTAATTCAGTGGAATAATTTTCAGTTCCTCAGTACTTAAAATCATGACTCCTCTATACAAAGTTTCTTTAATCATATTTTTGTCTATTTAATACAATCTAAATTGAATGTTATGTGGAACATAAAAATGTTTACTACTATTAAATAGTAGAATAAGTATGAATACTTACAGAGTTCAAACTCTTTGTATGCTCTGCAAATTTTAGAGATTAATTCTTCAAGAATGTTGGCATGCCCTTTGTCGTTACCCGTATTATTTTACTGTTTCTCAGATACCTTTTCCAGACAGATAAGGAAAGGCTTAAAAATACAAATTGCAGGCTAGTAGAGTGCAGTCAATTACAGACAGCTCTGGAATGAAACTGCATTATGTCTGGAAACCATTAATAACTGGGCATGCAGTACTTGATCTGGTTTTACAAGTACAGCTTATAAAATGTTTCCACATTATTACCCATAAAAAATACAAAAACTTTAAAATGTAAAAGAATGATGTTAAATAGAACACAGTTTTGTTTATTTTATGAGTAGTGGCTATGAAATTGCATTATTTTCAAACATTTTAAGAAGTATGTGTTGTGTGGTACAGGTCACGAGCTCCAAAGTAATGTGCTCTAAAACCGACAGGCAGTCCATCCACTATTAGAAGCAGCCAAAGCCTTATGTGGATTACATGCTGAAACTGGACAGACCCTTGCTGAGTTGCAAGCAACCGAGTGCAGTATCATTTTTAAATATTTAACAAAAGTACACGTCAATGAGATGAAAATAATGTTTGTACAATGTCTGCAAACAACTTTTTTCCTGGTCATGAGTCGATTAAGATGACAGAGGGGAATATATACATAAATAAATGCATTCATAAAGACAAATCAGGGATAATTTTAAAGCATGAAATGTGCCAGTAACGAAAGAATTTTGAAAAAAAAAGAAAGCAGTTTGTTCTCTTTATACATAGTGTATATATAGTGCTGACACATAGGACACAAAAGGGAAAATATCACGTGAAGTAGCTCTTGGACAAATTTCCTTAAATTTTTAACCAAATAACTATGCCTACACCTCCTTAAGAAAGTAAAATGTATCATTTATGAAAATGAAGAGGCTACAACCATGTGAGCATATATAAATACACAACTCACAAGGATTAGTAGTGAATAGAACGATGGCTGAAAGATGTTTATTTGCATATTACAAAAGCTCTATGTGTTCTCAAGAAGTATATGGTCCAGTGGACGACAGAAAAAAGTATTTTAAAACAAGGAGTGTATTTATGGTACACATTTTAAAGAAGCAAGGTGAAATAACTTAAGGCTTTGAACAGAACCAAACAATGCACAAATGAGAAATCAGCTGCATAGCTGTAAAGTAAATGCATAGTTGGTTTATCTTGGCAGAACATTCTTTACCCTTTATTTTCATTTTGTCTGGATTACGTAATTATTGCTCACAGCTGCCAAATGAACAATAATAATTCCTTCAATTTACATAGCACTTTTCTGGACATTCCCCTCCACCATTACCAATGTGTAGCACCCACCTGGATAATGCAACAGCAGCCAAAGTGCACACAGTACACCCACTACACATCAGCTATTAGTGGGGAGAATAACAGAGTAATGAAGGCAGCTCATAAATGGGGATTATTAGGAGGCCATGATTATTAAAGGCCAGAAAAAACATGGCATAACAGTGGATTTGAAATGACTCTTGTTTACAACACCATAAGAAAGAAAACATACTATTTTTTCAAAGTGGAAAAATCTGCAGAGATCAAAGGTAAATGTAAATATCTGAGATGTATCCGACTGCTGTATTTTGTGACACTTCTTTGTAATACCTGTCTTGCTGAAATGGTTTTTATCCTGGATGTTTAAAAAAAGCACATTTTAATGTATAATTACATTGCCTTATCAAAAGCACATAGGAAACAAATGACATAATAAATTATGCAGAAACCAAAGGGCAATACTTACATGATAAGAGCTTCCCATTCAAAGAAATTCTCTTCATTAACAGGACCTGTTAATTTGCAAAAGTAAGGGATAGTGAATTGATTTACATTGAAACCTTAAAACAGTATTAAGGTCATTTCATTTTTGGTATTTGCTTCTTTTCTGCTTTCCTGCTCCCTCTTCTATACGTCTCAGTGTAACACAGTGAAGAAGTGAATGTAGTTACCTCTTTCAATATTAAGTCATCCATTAATTTTCTAACATTTTCTTCCAATTCAGTGTCGCAGGGCGGCCAGAGCCTATCCTGGCAATCAACTGGCGCAAGACCATCACAGGCAGACACGCACACTCACATGAGGGTCAGTTTTCCCAGAAGCAGATATCAGTATGTTTTTGGACTTTGGGAGGAAACCAGGGCACCCAGAGGAAAACCACACGAAAAGGGAAGAACACACAAACTCCACACAGACAGCACCCGAGGTCCAGAATAGAACCATGACCGCGCTGCAAGGCAGCAATGCTAACCACTGTGCCACTTTGCTGCGTTTAATACCAAGTCATTCCTTAAAAAAGTAATCACAAACAACTTGAGAAAAAATTCCACACGTTTTCCTTGGAAGATATGGTGACAGTGTAACAGTTTAAGCGCAAGTGACAATCCATCCATGAAAAAAACGGAACCCTTTTTTGTCATTTCTAAGCACATGGATGTTTTTTTTGTCATTTCCACATGGACGATTCTGATGCTTCTCAAAAGCTGTCATTACCATAATTTGAAAGCAAGGAAACCCCCAGACTTGAAAAGAAAGTCTCTCAGAGGAAGTGGTGGAAATATCTGTCATGTTCCTGTTACGCCCATATTTGTCATGCAATGTTGTTCACCTTAAGTAGACATTTTCCTTTGTAACCAATCTGTCAAGATTTTTGATGTGTTGGCCATCTGCATTCTCCTCAAGACTTTGTCCCTTATGTACTAGCTGTTGACTGCCAACAGCAGTTTAGCTCCAGAACCTTCCGAATACACCTCTGGGACAGCTTTTAGAAATCAGTAGAAATCATTGTATTCATATTAAATTTATCATTCAGCTGGATCATTATTTCTTGATATAGAAAACATCATCATGGTTTAATGGTGTACATTAGAAACACTTCTTTTAGCCTCACTTTCATCGTTCCCTCAAACTTCTTTACCTTTTGTGAAACTTAAGTCTTTTGCCACAACCCACTGATGATTCCAGTTTTGTATCCAAGACCTTTTTTTCCATTGTGATGTCTTCAAGAACCCATTCAGCTTCAAAACTTCATGTTGCTTTTAGGATGTTTATTTTAGACCACAAAAGGGCTGGATTCTTTGTTTGCAGAGAGCTGAGAGCCCTGATTACCACCCCATTCCCACCCTGTCCTCAGCAGTACTCAGCCAAATGTGTGCCACCACTTGGGGAATCCCAGCTGCAGTCATCTAGTGACTTAACATGTGTTGCTCATGCATTGGATCATAAAAGTGCCTTGGGTGAGCCATGTGGGAACACCCTCTGTCTGCTTTTTATGTTACAAGAGGACTTCTTAGATTCCGTAGTTCTCCACTGCTTCAATTTAACAGGCGAGTATATTAGATTAGGAAGAAATTTTTCATTGTACAGATGCAGCCATTCAAAATGCGCGGTAAAA